AATAAGATCCTTATAACTTTCATTGTTATGAGGCCTCCTTTAGAACAAAAGTATGAACAAAAAATCGAATATATATCATGTTCAGCAACGATCAAAACATGTTTTTATCGGGGATTGTTGGTTCTAAGTTTTGTTTAAGGATTTAATTGAAGATTTTAATTGTCATTCCATGCTTTTCTTCTTGAGGAAAAGCGGAAGGAAATCTCTCACGAAATTGTTTAAAAACATTTATTATGTAACGTTTTACAACCTATTTTCGTTGTGAGCCAAGTTTTGAATGTATAGTTAATGAATATGAAAAAAATTGAAAAATAATATGTAGAGATCATAAAAAATGTTGAAGGCTTGTAAGGTTACTCTAGATTGGCCTATGAGAGGAAGGGTAATTACTGCCTCAGGGGCAGTAATTCTAGAGTGGCGTAGGAGAGGAAGGGTAATTACTGCCTCAGGGACGGTAATTCTAGATTGGCCTATGAGAGGAAGGGTAATTACTGCCGCAGGGACGGTAATTCTAGAGTGGCGTAGGAGAGGAAGGGTAATTATTGCCGCAGGGACGGTTACTCTAGATTAGCCTATGAGAGGAAGGGTAATTACTGCCTCAGGGACGGTAATTCTAGAGTGGCGTAGGAGAGGAAGGGTAATTACTGCCGTAGGGACGGTAATTCTAGAGTGGCATAGGAGAGGAAGGGTAATTATCGGTAATTCTAGAGTGGCATAGGAGAGAAGGTAATTACTGCCGCAGGGACGGTAATTCTAGAGTGGCATAGGAGAGGAAGGGTAATTACTGCCGTAGGGACGGTAATTCTAGAGTGGCATAGGAGAGAAGGTAATTATTGCCGTAGGGGCGGTAATTCTAGAGTGGCATAGGAGAGAAGGTAATTACTGCCTAAGTAAGTCAAGTAAGTTTAGAGGGGCAGGAAAAGAAGGATACGGAGGTTCACGAACGTAATTTCCTGATAACCTCAATTCTCTTAGCTTGAAATATGACGTCAAAATTTAGAAGAGCTTTAAATTTTCAATAACTTTTCTGATAACAATTGAGATGCTGTCACATTATACGAGTTTTATCACTTCGAAAAGTTAACCGCATCATCTTCATAATAATGCTGAGTAAATCAGGTAATTTATTTCATTGTTTGTCCCTTTAGCGTGTGATTATATTACTTGGGAATTAATATGCAAGGAAATTTGTATAATTCATAAGATTTGAAAGTTTCTAACTCTCATAAGATCTTTTTACAGGATAGGTCCTATAGGATGGCAGGGAGGATGAGTCTGAGATGGCTTAGCCCGCGTCGTGACAGCACAAACATGTACACATATAACAAGGCTTACAACCAAAAACACTTCATCAGGTAGCGTCATAAGTTTGTTCAAAGCGTAAAACAAATACACATCAACAGCAACTAGAAAACCAAACCAACAACGACAGCAACAACAGCAGCAGCAGTATTAGTAGTACTATAATTGTATAGGTAATAACTTACATAATAACTATGACCCTATGTTAAATTCAATAACTTTAATTAGAGTATTCATGGCATAGTAATATAGTAATACATCACTCAGTGCATCAGGAGTTCAGGACGCACACACTCGGACGATCAAGCTCTCTCCACACCAAAGAAACAAACGCTCAAACATCAATTAGCCATACCGAAAAATCATTCATAGCACAGGAATAAATAAGATTCACCTCCACATTAAGAAAGCTGGCTGCTCACTATTGACAAAATTAGAAAGATTCGTGGAAAGAGGATACCGATTCGTCCATACCACCACGACTAGGAAAATCTTGACAGGGTCTAGAGAAATTATAACAAATGAATGAGAAAAGATGTGGCTGAAAAGACGGAATATGGGTAAGGAACAAAAAGAAAATAGGCTTCAAAACAATTATAATAATAAAATTATCACGATGTCGCTGAACTAACCAATAGTGCCGAGCAGCTCTCACACTAAACCAACACAACGCAAACATGGAACCGAATCCTTCGACTGGCGAATGCGTTACGGTTACGGTTTAACTTTGGCAGTTTGTGTGAAAGATCCTCCAGTTACGATTAAAACTACTTGATGCTACGACCATGAACAGCATTCGATTTGATACTACTTTTGAAAAAATTAATATCGTAAATTATATAATTATTTCCGAGATATTATCAGAAGAACAAGCGTGACGGTATATGATAACGCAAAACTTGGACAGATGATATACATATTTTACATAACATCTATCGAGTGTTGTATGTAATCAAGCATTTTGCCAATACCTCAGTTGAGTAAACATAACTCCCATGTGCTCTCCGGTGCCGAGTTCACGGTCCAATGTAAGTATCGCCGAATTTATTACGATTAGGAAATGAGGCAAGTTACGTGATCTGAAAACTTCGGAGTACGAAAGTTTGTCCAAACCAAACGAACTTCAAAGTAGCAAGACGCTCCACCAATCGCTCGTTGGAAGTTCATTTTATGCTAGTAAAGTTTCAGGGTCAATGCTCTTCCGATTAATTGCACGTAGCTTAGGAAAATCGTGACACCCAAAGCCAGGACCACTTCTTCTTGGTGAAATTATTCAGAACAACTAGAAATCTATGGTAAATGTTGACTTGTATTACTCTACGAATAGCAGATTGGAAGCCGAGCGGTTCGAAACTAGAGAACAATATTTATTTATTATGTTATCATTATTTATTATATTAACCCTGAAGTGCAGGGAGCAATAAGTCAACGTCTGGTTCGCGGCCTTCGCTTTCATTAATTGCCGTCATCGGCAGCGCTGCTCCGACCGACCGCACTGCGACATCGAACAATTTTTCGATCATCGACCTCTAATTTCAATTAAAATAGCAACGATAAGTCCCATCAATTGGATGCCAGAAAGACAAATTGATGACAAGTTACTCGCAACGATAAAAATTGAAATAGTTATGCTGTTGAAACAATGACTGAATGTGCAGAAATTATCATAAAAATTTCTGTCCGTTTAACAATAGATGTAGCCATTGTTTCAGAAGTGAAGCAATTAGTGTTTAGGAAGGAGGCTGAATCAAAGGAATTGAAGGACTATTGCACGATAATTATACAGAGCGAGCATTTATACACGACAATGTGATAATTTTTTCCCTGCGACCATTCAATGCATGTTACGTTAGCTAAAATTTCTCTGGAAACCGAATTGTATTTAGTAGATGAGTCTGTTTTCATACGGCTATCAGCAGTAAACGGTGAAATGTGAAGATCTGTGGATGCGAACTTCGAGAAGAGACTTGCCATCATCAACGAAAGCCCCATGAATATTGTTGAGGGTTTTTCATCGGAATGTCAATAGTGCGAATTTTCACTCAACCGAAAAATCATGCTGACTAAATCAGGTGATGCTGATTTATAGTTAATACATAGTATAGTTATACTATAGTATAGTATAGTATATACATTTTTTAAAAGCCTTTCACCCAAGTATTAATTAGTTTCGCCAGCTAGAAATTAACTTACGGATATTTTTCACTTAGCTCAAGCAATTCTTGCCAGTAGAGCGCATGGGACTTCCCGGCCCGTCTCAGATGGCCCACGGATTAAACTTGAAAGCAAGTCATTGTCTCAAACGCGACGATGGATTTCTTTGATAACCAATTTTTTCGTTGGTTCTCGACCAAGGTAACGAAGGCCAAGTCATTTTTCAAGCCGCGTCGATGGCGTCGATAAGCCCACAAGAAAAGTTGCGTAAATCGCGAGCTTGTGAGTGATTACCCGCAAATAAAATCATGGCCCTCCCCCAGAAGCGCAGTTACGCCTTACGAAGAAAATACTACGACGATGTCACGTAAAATTCAGCTACTATCGACAAATGTTTCCTAGTATCATTTAGATGAAAAGTGAACCTTTATTGCAGATTTACCACCATTAAGCGGTGGAATAATGTGATTTGAACGCAGATGACAACATCTCGCCTGCGAGTTATCGGCAGAGAAGTAAAAAACTGCTGGTTAAACTTGCAAATGAATAAACAGAATGATTGACGTATTGAACAAAATGATGTCGGAAGTATTTCATGCAAGCAAACAGATTTTTCTAATTGCGAGGTCAAATAGTCTTTATAATAGCCAAAATTTTCATTGTTTAGGGGTTGTAGAGTTTGCGCTAACGGTCGAATGCAGCAGTCTTAAAGCAATTACCAACAGAAACTTTCCGTGTATCCAACGTTGAGGGCATCGAGGTGAGCATTCATAGTCAGCATCGATATCACTAACGCGCATGATTTCAGGCAAGGTAATATTTATGAGCAAAATATCATGTCATCCATTATCAAAATATGCCCTTACGGAACGGTAGTTCTGTTCAAATTTAGTTTCGTTAAATGCCACACTAAGGCTGGTGAACTTAAGCTGACGTTGAGGCGTTTATCTCGGGGAACAAACGCATGAAACATGGGAAATTAAAATTTTTTCCTAGTCGTGAGTATAAAATTTATACAAAAAAAAACAAATAAAATAACTATAACGTTGAAAAAGCTAAAATAGTATCCAAGAATATCGCTAGACATCATGATCAACAACCATCAACAATATAACTATAAATACGGCGATACGAATGATGTTTTGAAGATGCTCATAACACCTCAACCAACCCCATCATCAACGAGTCATATCAACACAACAGCCATTAGCGACAAGAAACTTGCATTAAAGTGTCAATAGTAAAATCGGCTCACACACACAGAAATTTCAATTCGTTGACCTGGGATGAGTATCCATTAAAGAATAACGATATGTGCATCATCACCAGCACCCACTTGCTCCCACTAGATCTCTTGTCGCTCATTTAGAAGATCCATCAAATATCGCTCATTTAAATCAAGATCCATCAAATATTAATGCATATCAAAACATTTCTGAAGCACTTTCATTCACTCAATAGACTAGCAGCGCCAACCTCTCGTAATTCTAAATTACTCAAGACACAATTGAAGCTCTGAACCACACACGCAGTCGGCCACTAACCTCTCGTTGAAGTTGCTGGTGAAGTCCTGGAGGCTCTTCTCTTCGATGAGGAACTTCATCTTCTCGTAGAAAGAACTCGTGGACTCGGGGGACGGCTTAGAGAGGACGATGTTGACGGGGCTTTTGCTTTTGAGGCACAAGGTTGCTTTATTGTCACATACCGGAGACGAGCAGCACTCTGGGTCAACGCAGTCTTGCAGGCCGTCTGTAGCATGGTTATGTTACTAAAACCTAGTCTCTGAGTTTGTGAATATTAAATATAAACTTAATCTGCACCTAAGTGTTCATGTTATTAAACATGTAATAGACGTAAGCCATGGAATCATCGATCAGGCAACAATTGTCGAATGCACCCAATACTTACTCCCATCATCGTTGATGTAAACCCGCCACAATCAACATCGACTCAACACTCACCATTATCATTATCAATGCATGCCCCACCTTCACCCTCATTGACGCCACACCTACCGTTATCATGCGATGCTACACTCATTATTATCATTATCAATGCATCCCCATTATCATCCTCATGGACACCTCATCCACCGTCATCATGCGATGCTACACTCACCATTATCATTATCGATGCCATCATCACAGATCATCTCGAGCTGCACGGAGCAGTCCTGACCGTCCCAGCCCTCCTCGCAGTGACAGTACCAAGAACCTGTCGGCGAAACAAAACTTAGCCTACATAACAATTATACTTCAATTAGCTCACGTAATGATTTTAGTTCAAGTTTTTTTCCATTATGACCCAATTAAACTACCGTAGGTTGATAAAATTGAAATAAACTTTATATGGCGAACCATGTGAGAAAAAAAATAATTCAACTGCATGCCAACGACTTCTAGGCTATGCAGAGGAGCAGATCATGACTTTTCCAGCATTTACAAACCTGAGTGGCTATACAGAAGAATGAGCCTGTTATATTAGTTCCTTACCTACAACTCACTCGTTCGCTAGCAGGTGAAACTGGCTTGAATGCGCCTGCAAAGGCTCCGCTCATCAGTTCAGTGTTACCCTGCTTCATCAGTTCAGTGTTGTCCCCTTTAACTATCGAGTGCTTTACCAATTCAGAGTGGCTCCGTTTTACCAGTTCATTGTAGCCCCGATTTCGGTTCAGTGTCGCCTCGTTTCATCAGTTCATCCCTTTAACTATTGTGTGCTTTACCAATTTAGCGTGGGTCCGTTTTACCAGTTCAATGTAGCCCCAGTTTCAGTTCGGCGTTGATCCGAAATCATCAGTGGAACCGAAAATTTTACCAGTTCAGTGTAGTTGATCCGAAATTTCACCAGTCCAGTGTAGCAATATCAGTTGGCCGTTGCACCCACCGTCTTCATCCGCCAAGCAAGTTCCATGCGCGCGGTCGCCGCACTCGTCAGGGCAGCCAGCGATGGTGCAGTGGCGGCCGTTGTAGCCCGCCATACACACGCAGGTGCCGTTCTTGCACTGGCCGTGCACGTTGCACCTGGCGACACCAGCATCAACGATGAGTGATACGTAACACTATATCTACGGTTGATTCATAACAACAGGTAAACATTATATAAGGTAATAACAGGTAAATATAGATGATTTTGAATTAAAAATAGTTTTGAAACGCGGGTTCGATTTATAAGATGGAAACATTACGGTATAGCAGGAGGAGCATATTGACGGCAGACTATATGGGCTTCATAAGTTGCATAATCATTTTGATACAGAACAATGAGGAGTGTTTATATTGTATAAAAAACGCAAACGACCTCCAAGTTACAAATTGCAAATTTATTCAACTTCTAACGAGAAACTGCCTCTTCTACTCTATTGAGAAAGGCATTTGGAGGGAATCGCGTACTCTCTTAAAATAAACAAATGCTAGTATAACCCAAAATACTCTGATGGATTTGCAATTTGTTCAGAAGTACACAATTCACATGTTTGTACTTGTGAACACGACAGTTCAACACGTGCTCAAGTTACTTAACAAACACGTGCAAACACTTAACAATCAACAAACACGTCGCGCAAAAAAAACGAGGAAATTACTCCTATCACATTGTTCTTATCTTCAAGAGGAACGTTCAATCCTAACTTTAGCGGTCAAGTAGAAACGCACACCCATTTGTTCCGGACGACCATCGTTGGCAGAATTGCAAAGAGAGGAATAACGAAGCTTACGTGATTCTAAATTTGCGTTACACTTGCTTAAAAAAATGTCACTCCAATTGGTATGTAATTAACAACAGCAATTTTCTGTATTTTTTGTAATTGAAAGTAATTTGTAAATCAATTATAATTTTGGACTAAATCAGTGTGAGAAATTGACAAATGACATTTTGCCAGCATCGTGACATCGACATATCATATCTATGCCCCAAAAATGACGTTCCCAAATTCGATATTGTGCAGCGCTAGCACAGAGCACGGGGGGCATCCGTTCGGCAGAGCACACAAAAAGCCCACAAAGGAAAAAATTGCAGGGTACGAGGAGGCTCTTCATTTCGGCGAGACTCGCGTGAAGTTTGCAAGCGGAACAAAGTTTAGGGCTGAAGCGCGCTGGAGGGATGGGGGCGCTTCATATAGACACCGCATGAGTGAACGAAGCTCTGCACTTTTCGCGGCGTTCGCTTGCTTCGTCTCTCGCCATCAAATTGCAATGCCAAGCAAGAAGAAGCAAATTGCTCCAGAAAATGGAGGCTCTTGGATACCACGTTACCCAAACCATTTTTCTGAGCATCAGAAATGCGCCAGAGCTAAAAACCGGTGACGACGGAGACGAAAAAAATCTGTTGCGAAAAAAGCTCGATTTAATTTGGCGAGAACGTAAGTAGAGGGAGAAGGCAGGGTCTAAAATGGGCTTTAGCTTTTACTGCACAGCCGAAGAATGGCAGGGACGGCTTGCTTTTTGTCGTCCGGTGCTGCCGAAGAGACGAGTTTCCGGAATTTGTGGACGAAAAATATATGAGGTCACAGATGCGTTGAACTAGCGAATCCTCAAAAAAACAATAGCAGACTTCAGTAAATGAACATCTGTGCTGTTCTGCTCTAAATTTTATAGAATAGAAATGAAATCAGAAGTTAAACTAAAACCAATATCTGCAAATACAAATTCTTCTGCCGCAGGCAAAAATTAGCGAAATGTACACGCTTTGTGATATTATCCACGAAAGAAAAGTTTACGTGTGTAACAGATCGATAAAGTTAAAAATCAAAAACTTAAAACATAAGCGGTAAAAACAATTTTTTTACCACTTCAGACTTCTCATTAGGACCGGCTTCAACCGTTCTCGTACCAAAAACGCAACCGCAAACCATGCTCGATACGAACTGTGCAAAAAGCAAATATTTTTGTTAAAACCAGAGCCTGCGAAATGTAATCAGTATAAGCACAAGAAGCACAATAGAAGTTGTTTACATGAAGTGACGCTGCATTCAAAATATACGAAGGGGTGTCGCCGGTCGGAACTTTTAGCGGCAAAGTTGATCAGAAAACGAAGACGGCGACATGAGATGGCCGTCGGCTGATGACGCGAGTAAATGAAAAGTAAAACTAAAATTTTGGCTCCGGAATTTCGTGTGCCACCAGAAATTCGTGACTTTAAGATGATCGAAAGACACTTCCAAGGAATAAGTAAATTTAATATATCATCATTTGGAAGAAATGAATTATAACTGAATTATTGAGCGATAATGGACACGTAAATTTAGCCCTTATATCCAATAGACTGCAGTTAATAGATTTTCTTGGTTTCCACGTGGATTTGGGTAAATCGCTTACAAAATAATCTACCCTTTATTATTCAGAATAAAGGAAATAAGTACTTTTACCTGAGAACACGCCAAAGAAAGATATGTACACAATAACAATCCATCGGTTTCGCCACTTTCACGTTACGATCATTTAATATAAGCATTAGAATATATCATGAGCAAATTGACCCGACGGCACCTTAGTTCGACAAAATTCAAAAACGCGGTCACGTCTCATATGGCAGATCAGAATATGGATTACTTCGAAATTTTGTTTTGGCAACGCGTCAGTTGAAGGAAACCGTGATCATCCAGCAATGGACCCATTCGCACTGTCCGTGTATCATGATGGCTTTCATCCGATCATCTCGACACTTAGCCCTTACCAGTCGAGAAAACAAAAGAAAAGCGCATACATTAACTTTAATTCGTTATTAATATAGTTAGAATGTGGAAGATCATGTGAGAGTTTTAAGTCCCGAAAGTATAACCGTCTCATTACCTTCAATTCATTATTAATATAGTTAGAATATGGTATATCATGTAAGAGTGTTAAGTCATACCTCGGGTCGCAAAGTTTCTCGGTGCAGTTGTCACCGGACCAGCCGTCATCGCAGCGACAAGCGTCGTCCTCACAGCGGCCGTGGTAACCGCAGTTGCGGGAGCACGCCCCTGTTGTCGGGTGAGAAGAGGTCATGACATGAGAAGAGGTCATGACATGAAAAGAGGTCATGACATGAGAAGAGGTCATGACATGAGAAGAGGTCATGACGCAGTTGCGGGAGCACGCTCCTGTTGTCGGGTGAGAAGAAGTCATGATAATAATGGTTTGGTATGAACAAGCTTAGATATTAAGGAAGTAATAGGATAGATGAGATTGTTGTATTAATGAGATGATCGAATAAATGAAGTGTAATAGTATATGTGAAATTATTGTATTAATGATATGATAGAATACATGAGGACTGTATTAAAAAAGGAATGGTTTCAATAAAATTATTGAATAAATTAAATAATGGTATTATGATGAATATGAATTAATTAGGTTTAGAGTATTAATGTGATAATAGTATTGATAAGATTCTGATATCCATGAAGAAAATAACACAATATAGTTGTGTTATACATGAGGTTATTGTTTTAACGGAGTAAAACATCGAAATAGTTTTTTTAAATAGCGGGGATCCCGCAGCACGTACACCAAGAAAAATGAGTGGGACTTTTTTCAAATAACGACGCACTTTTTGACGGTGTAATTCTTAGATTTTTTTTAAATAGCATCCCATAACAGTTTATTAAGTTCACTATCACAAACCCCGAGTCCAACACTCACTCTTGTCGCACTGAGAACCGATCCATGGCGTGACGCAGACACAGGAGTGCGTCTTGACGTTGAATGTGCCGTGGTTGCTGCAGTCAGGCAGGCACTGCAGCGCCTCAGTGTCCATAAGGGCGCAGTCTGGGCCCTCCCAGCCCCGCTGGCACACACACGCACCCTTCACGCACCACCCGTGACCCGAACACGTGGGGTTAGGGCAGTCCACTGCGTCAGGAGGATGACCATTTATTGCTATTATTAAGGCAGCGTGGGGTAAGGGCAGTGGTACAGGGCAGTGAGGTGGGGTTAGGGCAGTGAGGTGGGGTTAGGGCAGTGGTACAGGGCAGTGACGTGGGGTTAGGGCAGTCAACTGCGTCAGGAGGGTAACAATTTATTGCCAGTTTAATGAAAGAACTGTTTTCAATACATTAAATTGTAGTTTAGAAAGAATTGTTTTCAAAATATTAAATTGTAGTTTAAAACGAATTGTTTGCAAGATATCAAATTGTAGTTGAAAAAGAATTGTTTTCAAAATATTAAATCGTAGTTTGGGACTTTTTTTGTGTATACATTGAATTGAATGAACTGAATTGTGGCCTTCTTGAGGCAGGATAACGTTACTAAATCCAGTAAAGGATTCGCAGCAGTGGTAGTGCACAATTTCAAATGCAGATACGCCGAAAAAAAAAAACGAAATTTTAACAAGCGCCAGAAAAGCGTTACACATCGCGCACCTGGCGAAGCAATATCGCGCTTGAGGCCAATAATATCGCGCGTCATCCAATAACGGCGCCAAAATTTAACGGCCTGCAGCACCTGAGGTTGCGGCCCGAGAAGAGAACACGCGTTCCTTAACACGAACAATGCAGCCTGCGAGACGCGCGCTGCAGCACACGCGATACTACTACGCATCACATAACGCAGTTCTGCTCACTTTCACAGCTACGCATCACATGGTCCAATGCTGCTCACTTTAACAGCTACGCATCACATGGTCCAATGCTGCTCACTTTAACAGCTACGCATCACATGGTCCAATGCTGCTCACTTTAACAGCTACGCATCACATGGTCCAATGCTGCTCACTTTCACAGCTACGCATCACATGGTCCAATGTTGCTCACTTTCACAGCTACGCATCACATGGTCCAATTCCGCTCACTTTCACACCTACGCATTACATAACGCAGTGCTACTCACTATCACAGCTACGCACCACATACCCCAATTCTGCTCACTTTCACAGCTACGCTTTACATAACTCAATTCCCTGCTCACCTTTATCACAAAACTCGCCGGTGTATCCAGGGCTGCAGTGACACTGGCCGTCGATGCAGTGGCCGTTGTTGTTGCAGTGGGCGACCTGACACTCTTGCTGTGACAGTTCGCACTCCCTTCCTTTGTAGCCAGCGAAGCACTGGCACAGTCCAGCCACATACTCCCCACGCCCCGAGCACAGCACTGGGCACACCACTGCAACCGCGGCCAAAACCGGGAACATTATTTAGGTTGAATGGTACTGAACACAGCACGACATAGTGCACGGTATTTAGCACGGCACGTACATTTCTAACCACAATGATATTCACATATTTGCACTACGGATGAAAAAATGTTTCATGAATTTACAAATAATCAGTAGATTCAAGCGTAAAACAGACTAGTTGCAAGTAATAAATGTCAACAACAGCGATGCTAATTCAGTAGTTAGGTAAAAACCCTCACGAGGCAAAGTGCCTACGCCAGGAATGAAGTCGCTGGACATTTTAAGTAGTACACGGAGGCCTGAACTAACTTAGCCCTAGTTAACCCTAGAAGTTAGGCTACGAGTTAGAGGTGGTCGGCTCCAGACGAACCATGTGCACGCTGTCTATGAAATAATTTATATCACTCAGGTCAATGATCCTAACAAGTATTTTCAAAACATGCCACTGAATTTGAAATCTGTTGTGATAAAATCATCCAAATAAAAGGCCTGACAGTAGTTCCTCTTATTTTCATAGCGCTATATAGAGGGATCGATCGTCTCCTTCATCGCAGTGAGGCTGCATTTTCGCACCTTCAGAGCAGTCGGGGCCGTTGTATCCTTGCTGGCATTGACAGCGGCCCAGGAAGCAGTGTCCGTGTCCGTTGCATCGCTGCGGACATTCACCGGCCCCCACGCCATGTTTGACCATCAGCGACACCTCGTGAGGGTCGCCATCGTCGTTGTACAGAGTCAGGAACCAGTCGCCAGACTGCAGTAGCTCCTCCACTTCAACCTCCACCACGCCAACCTGCAGCCACCGTAAACAGAGTTTGCTATCGTCAACTGATAATTTATTATAATAAATAGGCAACTGACTACCCACCGTTTTTTCCTCTACTTACACCATGGCATCCTGCATTGATCGGCGGTCGCTAACGTAAGATCATCAAGAGCAACTCAGATTATGTAAGTGCACATGTGAGAGTATCATGAGCTCATGCCCCATTATATGCACGACTAAAAAAACACTATAAATCATGGACGAGCTGATCATTAAGACTGTAACTGTAAAACGGTCTATGTAACATATGTAAAACGGTGTATGTTATACACGGGTGAAGGTGGCGACTTATGATAATGCGGCGACTAAGGTGAAGGTGGCAACTTATAATGATGCGGCGACTAAGGTGGAGGTGGCGACTTATGATAATGCGGCGACAAAGGTGAAGTTGGCAACTTATGATGATGCGTCGACTAAGGTGAAGGTAGCAACTTATGATAATGCGGCGACAAAGGTGAAGTTGGCAACTTATGATGATGCGGCGACTAAGGTGAATGTGGCTACTAATAAAGAATTGTAAGGTACGCTACCTCAGGCTGGGAGGTGCGAGTCTCCCGCTGGGACGCCGTGCCTCTCAGGATCTGCATGACGTCGTGCTGCGTGTGGGTGGGCAGGTCGTTGCGACGTGCGTACAGGCCGATGGTAGTGCCTCTGCGAGGACATTAATGCTTGTCAGTTAACTAATAATGGAGTTAAATGACTGCTAGCTCAACGGCTAAATTACGATGGATTCGATGATAAAGTTACGAATTATTCAACGGTTTAACGATCAATATTACAGTTGTTCAACGAAAAATAGTTCAGTTCAAATCAGGGTGGTTTCTACAACACTATTCATTCTCCAACGTCTGTGCGACAAAAAGATAATATTATGTGAAATAAAACTTTGAAACGCGGCAGTGCTTCTTTTTTCGAATTTCGCTATCGACCAAACACCATCAAACTAGATAACCATATTAATTTTTGAAATTATTCTAGAGTACAGAATAATTAACATTTTTGGAAGTTATATTAAGTAGAGTTATAGAAGACATATTGGGAAAGGTCCACCTCAAAAAGAGAATAGACGCTAGATCTTGCGAACATTGTGAGAAAAATATTTTCGTCAACGATGATATCTAAAGTGGAGTACCAATCGAATGCAAGCATCCGATGAGTTTACCAAATTCTCATTAAAATTTAGGCTTAATAAAACTGAAAATAGGTATAACATATTTAGGACAAGCCAGAGAACCTCATGGGATTTTGCCAAGTGAAAAATCCGTCAAATGCGAAGTCCTGTCCTCATAAAGAGTGGCTAAGCAGCCTCTGGACGACAGCGCGTAAAGACTTATCAGGAGCGAGCACTCAATGTAAAAGAACATTCAAGCACAAACGCTGACGTCCCTAGAAGAAAGCAGCGAGAAGTTTTGGTGCGCGAGCAACGCAACATAAAACTCCCAATATTATCCAGTAGTGCTCACAAAATTCTTATCTCTGAGAGAGAGTCGGAGGCCTGCCAGCCTCTCCGCAAACTCTGCGCCGCACAAAATCTCACCGCCGAACACCACAAATCCGCGCTTGTAAAAGCAGCGCGGACGAAAAGGTGACAGCGGCGGGATTGGCGGACGAGAGGACGGTGCCAAGCGGCTTATTTCCGGCCTTCAGAGCCCCGTGAAGACGGGGCAGTGGATGGCTAGGCGGTTTAGTGGAGGGAAACAAAGAGGTCATGGAAGGAGGGTAGGAAGGGACAAGATGGTTCATAAGGATAAGAGGGGAACATAGGGGAGGGAAGAGGAAGGGAAGAAATATCAGGTGGGTCAATGGCGGAGAGGAATGGAAGATGGAGCAATGAAATGTAGAGGGAAGAAGAAGTACAAGGTTGGTCAGAGGAGAAAGGGAAGGGAAAGAATGGTGGAAGAAGGGATATGCTAAAAAATAGAACGTGAAGGTGAGGTAATAAGACGATGAATGCTATAGGGAGCATTAAAAAGGAGGGCAATGGCAGAAGGGACGCAAAGACCCAGATGAATCAAACACACGAGAGAGAGAGAACCATGAGAACCTAACTCGAAGACCTAGACTGTATAGAAGAGAATATATAACTTTTTGTCTCGCCAAATGCAATGAATGAAACCAATAGTAGGATTTGGGATTTTATTTTGTTAACCTAATGTTTGGATCTGAGTAAAAGGACGATGAAACAAAGATAGTTAAACCAAAAAAATGACGCGTCATTCCGCTCTAGAAAGAAGTCAATTTCTCCAGATGACCGATAAAATCGAACGGGACGCCAGTGATTTAAAACTCTGAGGACCATGTTAATTGAATGACGAAAATGGTTTAGATTGAATGAATAAGAGACATCATTTTTTAGCTAAAGGACATACTAGACGCAACAAAGAATATGTTTCGATTTCAACTCGTAAAAACTTTTTCCGTCAATTGAAAACGAAATTTTCTACAGAACGGATTATTTTTTTCTATTTTTACTCCATTGAACTAAGAATTACCTGCCTGCGGTACAGCTTCCAGATACAAGATTAAAAGTTCCTCTAATGATTACAAAAGGATTATTTTTCAAATTTTGATGAAGGATTTTTTAGTTAGAGGTTAGAAGACAAATTTCAAATATTATATACTTTTTCATAGGGCTAATTTCTCTCTTTCAGAATAATAGCGAACAGAAGGCAGCAGCAGGCCTGTTGATTGGCACGTATTCCTTACCTCACCTTGAGGGCGGAAGCTGCTCAGCAAATGCCTGGTCGTTTGTCAATACTGACACGGCTTATGTTCAGATAAGACAATGAATAATGACCGCCATAGGCTCCAAATTCTCTTTATTGAAAAAAACCTTCGCAAAGATTGAGGCTGCCGCAAACTTCGTCAAACTCGATAAATCGACGAGGCCTAAGCGCCAATATGAAGGCGAAGGCTCAAGCGATCGAGGCGACAATTACCTCGGATGGCAGTCGTCAGTTTGACGGAGCACACCATATGGAGCATCAGTGCGGCCGTGATTATGATTAATTATCAACGATTTCTTAGGGAGATCTGTTCTAATTTGTCCTAAAGAAATCAAATTTACATTTTTCCCCAGTATAGGCGCTAATTTTGGAGAGGAACATGAAAGAACAAATGAAGTCATCAGCGAGTTATAAAGTACCGAGAAGACAACAACGTGGTCTGTCGTTGAACGTATAGCAGCAATAACGCTACATGGTGAAAAATATCATAATTTTGAATTAAAGTAGACGAAAAATATCCAACTTTTACAGAATGTATGAGTTGCAGCCATCAATGGATTGGACTTTCTACCAGTGCTTCTATACGAAAATCAGCGGCACACATCGGTTTGATCCAATCCCGAGACGCATTAGATTAATGAGTATGCATTCAGTAATGGAACCTTGGGTAACTCAGTAGACACGGAATATCTCGCGAGATGCCAATTAACGGCGTAGCTATTCTAGTCAGCACAGCAGAGCAGGTATAAACACCTGCATTGGAAAGCAAGTCTCAACGCCTGCCCTGTGAAGCAAGACACCAGCGCTGCTGCAGTCACAAAAATGGATGGGTCATATTGTCCAAATATTGACACACTTCCTGCCTGTAGCACGGATACCACCTTTATCAGGGCCAAACTGGGTCAAGATGACTCACACAAAAGAAAAAAGTGCATCGCTATTTGGACAAAGTTTCATTAACTTTGCTGAGTGCATATGAAAAAGCTGAATTTGCTTCGCTTTGCCGGCAGTGAGAACAGAGGCGCAGATGAGATACCTGGTCGTTGAGACACTTGGTCGTTGAGACACCTGGTCGTTGAGACACCTGGTCGTTGAGACACCTGGTCGTTGAGACATGTCGTTGAGACACCTGGTCGTTGAGACACCTGGTCGTTGCGAGTGATGGATGAGTTTCGGTAATGAAACTGCCTCCACACAACATGCAAATGGCCACAAAAACCCGCGACCAAAAAGTTCCCATGTCCTCGGCCGCTGCGGTGGGATTGATAAACACAACCAAAAGAGTTCGACGAAAATGACCAGAAGAGAACGCTTCCTCGAGCTGATTTCATTTCGATATGAAGAAGACAAGGCCGGAATGAAAATTCTTAGATGATTGATTAACGTCTTGCGATGGGTCAAAGAAAATGGCTGCCAGAGGAACGCTACACCTACACAATCCATAAAAGCGCAAAGGTTGTTTCCTTGGGTTGATGACGTGTCGGCGTAAACGAATGCGATGAAAAACGCAGCGTCAATTTCTCATGCGTTTCAAGAAATGCATTTGAAAGCTGTGCATCGAGATTGTTTTTCATGCCTCAGTCAAATGAAATTCCAACACTTGTTTGCAATAGAGATCCAAACAATAGAAATAACTGTTTTGCATGTAGGGGTTTTCGCCTATTCCAGACAAGAATATTTCCTAACATTTTCCATCTACGAATTTGACGTTCTATCTAACGTTATAGTGTTGGGGGACTATCTCTTTTCCTCTACAATAGTTGTTATAACTAATATAGTATAGTTATTTCTAACTATTGAGACATCTGGCAGTTTCTGTGTTATCGTTATTATAGAAGCGTGCTGATGCTTAACACCGTTGCACTGGACCAATTGCAATGATTCAAGTAGCTTTGTGTCAGCAGCTGCAGAAGTACGCGTATATATGCTAATCAATAGGAACTAATGTAATACGAATAAATTTGATGATAATAATAAAATAACTAATCGTTATTATATCAATCATAAGGAAGATATTTAATTTCTTTCTATTGGTGTTTAAAGTCGGTATACCTATCCGCTCCTGCGCTCTGCTACCGCGTGCTCATATTTAAATTGATTAACAATTGTCGATTTGTGTTAACATTATGTTTGTTTATCGTTTTTGAATCCAAATATATAGAAAGTGTCAATTATTTAAACCTTTGCACACGGGATTGTCACATCGGTTATGGAATAAGAGCAGTTAATTCGCTGGAAACTTCGATGGTCATCCGTCAATAATTTATCTCAAGATTAGTATCGTTAAAGTGGATCACTCACTGGAATGATCGTCGTGAACAAACCATTAAATATTTTCAGTACGTATAACGTGATAACGCGGCTATACTCTTCCAACGTAGACAGATAGGCATGTGGATGGTCTTATGACTGACCTGGAGATGGTCTTATTAGTGACCTGGGGATGGTCTTATTAACCCTTTTCCGCCGTATGTCACTGTCCGGGAAAATGACTTTCAAATTAATTATACGTAAACTATTGAGTGTAGCAACCTGAAGACGTTTGTACGCAACAGAGAACATTTTAAAGTTGTCGTACGTTGCGGCAACCATCAGTGCAAGTCATTTTGCGCTCACTAAAACGTTTCTTTTTTGGAAGCAGGCTTGTGACAATATTGCTCCGGTTACTCATGTCAGGCGGTAGAGTTTTAAGACTGACCTGGAGATGGTCCTAAGACTGACTTGGGGATGGTTTTAAGACTGACCTGCATGGGAATGGCCTTGAGACTGACCTGGGGATGACCTTAAGACTGACCTGGGGATGGTCTTAAGACAGACCATTTTACCCCAAGTCCATACACATCACAATATTTGCTGTACAATGGGCTTGGTTTCAACCACGTCTATTGAAGTTTTAATAAAAACTATTCCGAAAGATGGCTTTGAAACAATCATAAACTACGTAGGCACCGCAAGGAAGGATAATTTAGTAAAATATTTTATCGGTTTAGACAATAGTTTGCACTGGCAGATATTGGCAACACGTTAAGAGGATGGTCTTAAGACTGACCTGGGGATGGTCTTAAGACTGACCTTGGGATGGTCTTAAGACTGATCTGGGGATGGTCTTAAGACTGACCTGGGGATGGTAAGCAGCAGGTGGATGAGTGTGGGGTCTTGCAGGGGGAGGTGCAGGTTCCAGTACCCGTATGGGGAAAGAGTTCGCTTGTTCCTCTCCCCCAACACGAGGTTCACGAACGAGGAGCTGGTGGGGGGGAAGGTTTGGTGGGGACGGCGTTCCAAGGTGCTGCTCCCCGACGCTGGGGGAAGACAGAACGTTTATAATTTGTTATAATATATTGGTTAAGCATGTTACTCATGTCAACGATATTATTATTAGTTTAACATTAATATTAAATAATTGAATATTAAAGACGTCAATGAAGACAAAATTAAATGAATGTCCTGAACTGATGCGCCAACGACAAGCAGCCAACTTGTTGACTCTATCAACGAGTACCTTGAATTAAGAATTATGTAAAGACTTACAAGGAATTATTATTATCATCCGCCTTGGCTTGGATTGCAAATAAGTGCGGCCAAATCTATAATAAAATTGGCCGCACTTATTTACAGTTCAAACATAGGCGGCAAAACAGCTTAATTTACTTGGCTCGATCAAGGACAAATGTAAAGCAGAAAATATACGGCCTACCCACACATCGTGGCATGCAGGCACACTCGATGGATAAAATCATTATCGGCTTAACTACGCACCCGGAGTTGACGGATTATGTCGTTTATATGATAGTTTATTATCAACGAAAAGTTGGTCTACATAAATTCTTGCATCGCAACAGAAATTCAACCAAATTGGACGACAAACACAAAGCATTAATCAAATATTAAAAAAATATGTCTTCACGAAGTAATCGCGAAAACCAAGACTTTTTTCATTTTTTTAATATTAAACTCGAGATTAAATATTCAGATCAGGTGCTTGCCGCCGTAGCGTTCTCGTGAAGTTTTAGATTTGGAATTGTTCTGCCAAACTTCATCTCGATTTGCTTCAGAACTTCGAACGAACCCGAACGCGCGCTGAAGTTTTCCTTTTTCTGGCCCCGCGGGAGGGCGCGAGAAGCGCTTTACTTGTGCACCACAGATACCTGGCGAGCTTCTATTTCTGAGGTTCCTACATAAATATATTTCCCCATTAAAACTATTTAATATGCGTCAATACCATAATATGCATGTTCCCTTATCATATTAACAATATTATACGGTATTTTTATTCGACATAACCTCTCCACTGGCCTCAGAAAATGATAAAGTACGACCAAGAGGCATTTTACTCAATGGGAAAGCGGTACCGTCGAATCTCTGAACTTAAAATAACCTAGCTGATAACGAACTAACATTGCAATGAACCAGTCTTCCTCGGCCCGTGTATATATAGTATTCGGTTGTCAAAATACATGTTAACGACGCACCTTTAACACGTCCTATCTCACCGTCACCCATTTCTATTCCTCACTTCACGTACCACACCCCTTCCATCACCCCTCCCCACACAAAAACGTCAACTTGGGAAGTGCTAGTTGGCGGACGCTCGCATTCATACCGTTAGAATATTTGAAATTATTTTGAAACCGTTCGTCTGCGCAGGTCGCCATGCACTCTGGTGCTCTACGTTACAGATAGTTTCATTGTAACTCAGCATTTAATGATGAAAGATAATGCCAAAAGCGTTTTATAATATACTCAAAATAAAGTATTAAATAAAAATTAGCGATAATTGAATTATTTCACACTAAATAAATGTTCTGAACGCTCATCTCTTGAACTTATGAAAATAACATATACATTTCTAGTGGAAATCTGTTCTTTACAAAGGTTCAGTGTTATCGAAATAGATGTCCTTGACTGCCGATAATAACAGACAAATGCTTCACGATCGCTTGTGACGAGTATCATTATTGCATTATTTTGTATGCATCATATTTGCATAAGTTAACACGAGTCAATTTTAAACAAGTACCGAGTAAAATGAGGTTTAGCTTAACGATCGAGCGCCCAATTATTGAATACTACCAATGATCTAAGAATAAAATTGGTTAAAGCTCTAACAGGACTCGTATACCGCAAGTGTAGCTTATCAGCAAATCCTTGGGTTGAAATACGATGAAAGATAGCACGTCTCTGAACTTATGAGTTATATATTGGCGGCCTCTGATCACAGCAGCCAGTACAAGCTGTGTGGACGCGCATCGCTAGCTTATATTTCACAGATATTTCACGTTGCACACCGTAGGTGAATATTGCAAGAATAACGAGATGTGTCGAAACGTGTGCTTTATTCCTACGAAAATGTTCGTGTTGTTCAAGTTACATGTAAACACATACAGAATCACACCTTCGATGGAGTCGAGTCGTTTTCCGTAATAAACAAATGTTCGAGCATCTTATTCCTTTATCCTAAACCAATTTGGCGTAAAAAAAATAAATATTTTCGTTTCCAACAAATCTTTTGAAGTACTTCCTTTTTAGGTAATTAAATGCCCCCAGGCACTCATTGTATTCAAGTCGCCTCGATTTAAACATTCCACCAGCACCAAATAACTTCTCAACTCCCACCTCCCCCAACGCAGGCCTATATAGGATCCATCAAGCTGGCATTCATCAAGCTCCCGCAAGCTCAGTGTCGTGGAATCGTCCGTAACACCCTACGCAATCCCCGCTTCGTGCGATTGATATGCAGGAGACAATACAAAGAGTATTTTTCTGACGCAATCCTCCTGATTTGAGGCGGACACCAATCGTGGGTTTCGTTATCCGCGCGCCGCCCGCACTGATCTGCGCTGAGCCCCGCTGCGTGACCCGCGACGCAGACGTCGGCTGAGCGTCAGGCGTGACGAATGAGCGTCAGGTTGAAATGGGTGGGCTGCAAGTGGGCTGAGGGTTGCAAGCGGGCTGAGGGTTGCAAGCGGGCTGAGGGCTGCAAGTGGGCTGAGAATGTAGAGACCGATACCTGGCAGCGAGGGATACGAGGCAGCAGGGGATAATTTCCTACCTTTTAGAATAATTTTTTCAGCTGCAAGCTCGTATTACAACTTTAAATTAACCATGTATACTAATTTCGCTATCAACGAAAACAAAAACAAATGCGATGCCGATTCAAAACACGACAGTCAAGACGATTAAAGCTATAGAAAATTACATTCACATTGCTTGCCATTGTTCGATATTCTTTCAATATGAGTATGCATGATAGATGACGTACACATACAAGGTATCCAAGTTAAATGATTGAAGCCTGAAAGAAGTACCACACCTTGGAGTTAACTTTACCCTTTAAGGGCATTAGGCGAGCGCGCGCAAGGAAACAGAGGCGTTTCACTTGCAGCATCTGATGAATTCCGTAAGGATTTCAAGTATTCCAGGCTTGTCAATGATCTTTTCTATTAGAGAAGTTTGCAGAGGCAGAATAATTGGAAGTTTTCGAAGTAGAGGAAGCTCAAGCAGTGAAGGGAAAAATGCAGGGGAATACGACGAACGGAGCAGGACAGAGGTAACGACAAATGGCACAAAATGTGGAACGACATTTCTCTATAATTCAGTCGTCTATCTTCATATTGAGCATTTCAGTGTCACAACTTAACAGGCCCGGGATATAAAGGTATTTTTTAAGTGAAAATATCATTGTAAATGAACGGGTGGGTAAAATTCAAGCATAATTGTACACAAGTTTGAGTAGAATTCAGGCTCCATTCTCTTGTACGAGTGTAATTCGCAATTTGAATGTTGACTAAAATTTCGGTGACAAAAGACGTAAAACAAAAGCAAAAGTAGCGAAGAAAAGCGCATAACCACAGACAACATCGCAGAACTTTCAAGAAATATAAAAAAACTGTAAAGAACACTGGAACTAAAAGGACTAATTAGGACAGAAGAGGACATGGAAGGACTGATCTGCCAGGGGAGGACAGACAGGGGGAGGAGCGGATGTCGCCTCATCATTGCGAGGATCCCCAGGGATTGGGGAGGATGAGAACGACTCGCCGGACGACGAAACCCACAAACAAAAATACGTGAGGTTTTCCGCTAATACCGCAGATTGCAGGCCGCTGCTGCTGTTGTTCAAATAGTGAACATCGTGAAAAAACGAAGTTAAGACAGAAAATACAACTCAGTACTCACTGCAGTGAATGACAGAGAGCGCATTTTCTCGTCGACGAAAATGTGAAGTCACGGACAGACGGACGGACGGACGGACATGCCAAGCACAATAGCGCCTTTTTTCCATAAATGAGAAAATGCGATAAAAACCTCACACTTCGACAGGAGCGCAATGGAGCTCGGCAAGCATTAAGCGGAATAAAAAATTTATATTCAAAGTTGAAGAATGTCTCATATGTCCTATTACCATTCAAAAAAACATTATGCGTCATCCGGCTGTTAAAAGTACAGCAAGGTCCTAAGAATGTTTCAATTGAAAAGGTATAAATAAATTCCAAGAGTTATTACATCAAAAATTTTGGAAATAATTTAAATTTCGTATAAACAGCATAGCACATAACAATCATACCATTATATGTAAAATGAGACGATTTTTGGATTAGTTCTAAGCCCGCGAAAACATCATCTACATCAACGATCGCTGATTTCAACAGCTGATGAATACCTGCGTGTGAATTGCGATAAGGTGAATATCATTGAAATTTATAAACCAAGTTATAATTTGCGCCACTAATATAGACGTAGAGTAATTATAGTCTACATTGAGGTGTAGTGCGTTGCTAGCAAAACAAGCGGCAGCGTCAAGGGTCGCGCGTCCGACAGCTCCGTGAATTACCATTCATTTATTCATTAGTCCGCAGATGGCGGGCGTCTGGCGCTCGCCGATACACGCAGTTGGTTTCGCAAGCTTATCAAGTTTTCGGCATCAAATAAAAATCTTCGTAAATATGCAAGTCCAGCAGCGTATTCTTTTTAAATAAAAACCTGACCAGGGAGATTGGCTTGCACAATTCGGCGGGAAAACGTGGGGAAATGTGACGCGGGTGGGAAAATTCCCTCCGCTTACAGCGGCGGGGAGGAATAGCAGCATGACACAGCGACGGGGAGGAATAGCAGCGTGACACAGCGGCGGGGAGGAATAGCAGCATGACACAGCGGCGGGGAGGAATAGCAGCATGACACAGCGGCGGGGAGGAATAGCAGCGTGACACAGCGGCGGGGAGGAATAGCAGCGTGACACAGCGGCGGGGAGGAGTAGCAGCGTGACACAGCGGCGGGGAGGAGTAGCAGCGTGACACAGCCA